AACTGGGTGTCACTGAGCAGGTTATTGCTGAGCAGGTGCTGTTTGATAGCTCTGTTACTGACACCTTCCATCACTTTACTGATGATCGAGAGGAGACTGATGGGACAGTAGTTGGCCGGGTTGGATTTGTCCTGCTTTTTGTGTGCAGGACATACTTGGGCAATTTTCTACATTTTCAGGTAGATGCCAGTGTTGTAACTGTAGTGAAACAGCTTCACTAGGGGAGCGGCAAGTTCTGGAGCACAAGTGCTGTGACTGGAATGTTGCCAGGGCCCATAGCCTTTGCAGTATTCAATTCCTCCCACTGTTTCTTGATATTAGGTGCAGCGAATAGAATTCATTAAGACTGGCATCTTAGATGCTGGGGACACTAGAAAAGGCCAAGATGGATCATCCAACTGGCACTTCTGGCTGAAAATGTTGCAAATGCCTCAGACAAATCTTTTGCACTAACCTTCCCTCCATCATAAGGTCAGAAGTGGGGATGTTCACTGATGATTGTACAATATTCAGCACCATTCATGGCTCTTCAGATACTGAAGCAGTCCGTGTTCAAATGCAACAAGATCTGGACAATATCCAGGCTTGGGCTGACAAGTGGCAAGTAACACTAATGCCACACAAATGCCAGGCTGTGACCATCACCAATAAGAGACAATCTAGCATCGCCTTTGACATTCAATGCTGAAACCATCACTGAAATCCCCCATTATTAAAATCCCGGGGGTTATCATTAACCAGAAACTGAACTGGACTTCCAACATAAACACAGGGGCTACAAGAGCAGATCAGAGGCAGGGAATCCTGCAGCAAGCAACTTGCCTCCTCATTCCCCAAAGCCTGTCCACCATCTACAAGTTAGAATGTGATGGAATACTCCCCATTTGCACCCGTGACCACTTCCAATAAGAATGACAAGGGCAGTAGATATATAGGAACATCACCCCCAGCAAGTTTACTTCCACTCACCATCCTGACTTGGAAATATATCATTGTTCCTTCAGTGTCGCTGGGTCAAAATCCTGGAATTCTGTCTGTTACGGCAGTGTGAGTCTACCTACACCACGTGAACTCCAGCAGATCAAGAAGGCAGCTCACCACCACCTTCTCAAAGGGCAACTGGGATTGGGCAATAAATTGTTGACCAGCCAGCAATCCCCACATCTCATGAAAGAATAATAATAAAAATGATCTGGTTTCCATCATTGACGATGGGGATATTCGTGGACCCTCCTCCTCCAGTCAGTTGTTTAACTAACCACCATTCACAACTGGATGTGGCAGGACTGCAGAGCTTAGATCTGATCTTTTGGTTGTGGGATCGCTTAGCTCTATCTATCACTTGCTGCTTTTGTTGTTGTTCATGCAAGTCATCCGTTTTTGTAACTTTGCCAGATTAATATCTAATCTTTAAATATGTAGGTGCTGCTCCTAGCAGTTCCTTCTCTGCAACTTGGGATTTTTTTTCTACATGAAATGAGGCCGTTGCTGGCTTGAGGGTAGATAACAGCCAACGTCACTGATGTGGGTGTGGAGTCATATGAGCAGGTGAGGGTGGCACATTTCCTTTCCTGAGGGATGTTAATGAACCAGATGGGTTTTTCTGACAATCGACAATGGTTTCAATATCATCATTAGACTCTTAATTCAGAATTTTTTATTTAATTCAAATCACACCATCTGCTATGGTGGGATTCGTATCTGGGCCCTCAGAACGTTACCCATGTCTCTGGATTAATAATCCATGAGGCTGTCATCTGTCCCCATCCATCGTTGAAACAGGGTGATCCCCTGATTTGATGGTTATGGTCGAGTGGGGGATATACCAGGCCATGAGGTTACAGATTGTGCTGGGGTACAATCCTCCTGCTGTTGATGGCCCACAGCGCCTCACGGATGCCCAGTCTTGAGTTGCTAGATCTGTGCGAAGTCTGTCCCATTTAGCATGGTGATAGTGCCACACAACACGATGGAGGGTATTCTCAATGTGAAGGTGGGACTTTGTCTCCTTGACGACTGTGTGGTGATCACTCTTACTGATACTGGCATAGACAGATGCGTTTGCGGCTGGCAGATTGGTATTTCCCTCTTGTTGGTTCCCTCGCCTCCAACCGCAGACCCAGTCTGGCAGCTATGTCTTTTAGAAGCCAACCAAATTGATCAGTAGTACAGCTGCCAAGCCACTCTTGGTGGTGGATATTGAAATCCCCCACCCAGTGTACGTTTTGTACCCTTGTCATCTTCAGTGCTTCCTCCAAGTGTTGTTCAACATTGAGGAGTACTGATTCATCAGCTGAGGGAGGATGGTATGTGGTATTCAGCAGGAGGTTTCCTTCCCCATGTTTAACCTGAAGCCAAGAGACTTCTCAGGGTCTGGAGTCAATGTTGAGGACGCCCAGAGTAACTCCCTCCCAACTATATACCACTGGGTCTGCTGGGTCTGTCCTGCTGGTGGGACAGGACATATCCAGGGATGGTGATGGTGGTGTCTGGGATAAAGGTTTGATTCCATGACTAGGACTATGTTAGACTATTGTTTGTCTGTGAGACATCATTCCCAATTTTGACACCAGCCACACAATGGAGAACTCTGCAAGTTGGACAGAGCTGTTTATGTCATTGTTCCCAAGATGGGGACTCCAGGTGGTCTGTCGAGTTTAGACTTTGTGGAGGTTTCATACAACTAAGTATCTCAGTCAGTCCATTTCAGAGAGCAGTTAAGAGCGAACCACATCGCTGTGGAACTGGAGTCACGAGTTGGGCCAGACCAGGTAAGGATGGTGGTTTCCTTTCCGAGAACACATTAGTGGACCAGATTTTTTTTTAAAACCACAATTGACAGTAGTTTCATGGTTGTTATTAGACTAGCTTCTAATTCCAGCCTTTATTGATTTCAAATTTCCTCAGGACATTAGTCTGGCCAATCCCCCAAACAGTGATAGGGGTTGGGTGCTGGGGGAATGTGGGAGTGTTGTGGTAACTGAAGAATGTGATAATTGGCAGGAGCTTCCCTCTGGTCCGGTTTGTCCCAATGTTTTGAGACTTCGGGGATTAAAATGGACACCAAAATAATCTATTCACCTAAGGGCACTGGTCTAGGGGCTCGGGTTAACCTTTTGACTGGAACTCAGCAGACTTTGTTGCGTTCTGCTATTACAGCTTTTCTGGGCCATGGGTGAGATCCTGCTGTGCGTGCAGTGGAAAGGTGTGTCACTGTCTGGGGAACAGGGGAATGAGATGAGGAGATATATCGCCCCCTGTAGACGGAAAGACTGTAGATGCTCAGACCTGTCTGCTGGAAGTCAATACAGGTTTTGAACGCTGTTCCTAATGCTTGGGGGCTAACAGAGAGAATGCGGAATACTCCTCACATAGTCTTACTGAGGAGGGCGCTGGATTCGATAGACTGCCCCCATCCTCATGGGAGTTTGAGACAGGGTGATAAAGACGAGGAGTTGCTGGGGAAAATGATTACAAAGTGAGCGGGCCGGCTGATCCTGGTTAATATCTGGCCAGTACAGGAGTCTTCTCTCTCTCTCTCTCTGGAGTCTGTGAGATACAGCTCCTGTTCCAGTACAAACACTGCTGCAGAAGATTTATATAGCAGCTGTGGGTTAACACATCAGGCAATGTTAATCACCCATTATCAACTTTCACACCCGGCTATTGTGTCCTTTTTCACAAAAGACCTACTTCTCCCATTTCAAAGCAGGAAACAAGGATCATACACAGAGACAGAGACCATGTCAGAGAGGGAGGGATGGGGAGAAACACAATCTCCTGTTAACTCCCTACCAGTGAAAAGCCCGCTGGCCAATTTCAAATCCTCCTGCTCAATGCCCCAGTGTTCTGCCAACCAACAGCTGGGATGGTGCTGGCAATGAGTTTAAACCTTTTTGATCAGGAATGTGAGACTTGACCATTAGCATCCTGTAATGAACTGAATATCTTGCTTAATTAGATACATAAGACATGGAGACGCAGGGGCTGAACGATGCGATTCGGCCCATCAAGTCTGCTCCATTTTTCAATGAGATTGTGCTAGACTGATAATTCACACCACTTTTCTGCCTTTTCCCCATAACTCTTCATGCCCCTTACTGATAAGATAAAAATCCATCTCAGCGCTGAAAGTACTCAACAAGAATTCAGACTTCCCAGCTGAGTGAAATTAGGGAATATTTTCCTGCCTAATTATTGCCCCGTCCCTAGTTGCCCCCCTTGAGAAGGTGGGGATGAGCTGCCTTCTTGACCCGTTGCAGTTCATGTGCTGTAGGGTTGACCCACACTGCCCCGTAGGGAGGGAATTCCAGGATTTTGACCCAACGACACTGAAGGAACGGGGATATACTTCCAAGTCAGGATGGGGAGGGGCTCGGAGGGGAACTTGCAGGGGATGGTGTTCCCATGTATCTGCTGCCCCTTGTCCTTCTGGATGGAAGTGGCCGTGGGTTTGGAAGGTGCTGCCTGAGGGGCCTTGGTGAGTTTCTGCAGCGCATCTTGTAGATGGTACACACTACTGCGACTGAGCGTCGGTGGGGGAGGGAGTGGGATGTTTGTGGATGTGGTGCCAATCGAGCGGGGGCTGCTTTGTCCTGGATGGTGTCGAGCTTCTCGAGTGTTGTTGGAGCTGCCCCCATCCAGGGCAAGTGGGGAGTATTCCATCACACTCCTGACTTGTGCTTTGTCGATGGTGGGACAGGCTTTGAGGGGTGGGGAGTGGGAGACAGGAGGAATAGCTGAAAGTTAGTGAGGGAGAAGAGGAGGACCTACCTACATTTCTACACGATTCTGGGGGGCTGCAGGTGGAGAATCAGAAAGGCGGCATTGTCACAAGTCACGCCTTCCTCCAAAGCAATGATAACAAAGGAAGCTGCGCCTTGGAAATGGGTGTGTATATATATCTCAAAGGTCTGTCAGCCCGGCCAGATGCCCTCAACCAACACAAGGCGTAAGTAAACTTTCCTTCTGTCTGATTTGTCATTTGAATGAAAATTTCCATGGCTCATTGGAACGGCACTCACCTGTCAATGGAGAAAGCCTATGTTCTGTTAGTTCACCAAATATTGACGGGATATCCCTTCACGGGAAAGGGCCATTGGGACGGCGGGGTAAGAGCCCAGTGAGACTTTCCCACTTTCCCACCTCCTCTCCCTCAATCACGGGGCGCTCTTCCCTTTTGCTTTGACCCAATTGCAAACTACCCTCCGGAACACCATCCTGTCAGTGAGTTTCTGTAGGACGGTGAAACGCGCTGCTCCTGCAATAGTGGAAACCAACTCGTGGAGCTCTACCTCTGAGCCGGGAGACCCGGGGTCAAGTCCAGACGGTGGGGTCCAGTAACATCACTGACCAGGTTGGTTCGGAAATGGTTTTTTTTCCCGCTTTTTAAGGCTGTTTTGATGATAATCTGATCCCCGTCCTCTCTCTCTGCCTTTTGCCTTCACTCTGTCCGCGCTCTCAAGTGCTGCCCTTAACCGCACCACCACCCCCAGCCCAAACACACACACATACACACGCACACACTCACATTCACACAAACACACACACATACGCACACACACACACATTCACACACTCTCTCTCACACACACATTCACACATACTCACACACACTCACATACTCACATTCACACACACACATACATACACACACTCACTCATACGCACTCACGCACACACAAACGACAGGCTGACAATGCTGACATCATCCCCCGGGAGGGGAAAGACAGACAGACAGACCAACTTTCTGATATGATGTGGAGGCTCTGGTGTTGGACTGGGGTAGTCAAGTTCAGAAATCACACGAAGCCAGGTTATAGTCCAACAGGTTTATTTGAAATCACAAGTTTTCGGAGCCTCACTCACACCTGAACCTGAAGAAGGAGTAAGACTCTAAACGTTGTGATTTTAAATAAACCTGTTGGACTATAACCTGGTGTCATGTGATTTT